AATGTTCAGTGATTTTAACTCTAAACACACCGACTGGACATGCGAAACCACCACCACCGCTGGCCGCAGATTACTACACATCACCGAGGAGCTTGGCTATGATGTCATCTGTCCCTACGCGCCCACCCACTACCCGGACAATGTACAAAACCGAGCCGACGTCCTGGACTTCGCGCTTTTTAAAAATGTGTCGCTACGCCTCGGCTCGATCGAAACGCTCGACGACCTGGGGTCCGACCACAGACCGGTGTCCCTAGTTTTAGGTCCCCAAGACCCACTAGACGCCCCCGCGCCCCCTAAGAGGCTATTCACCAACTGGGATGGATACCGCTCCGCTCTCGAGTCCGCACTAGACCCCCCCGATTCCCCGCTCCCTGTCTCACCGGACTGCCTTGACAGCACGGAAAAGATAGACGGAGCCATTAACACACTCACGACGTTGGTGAACGAGAAGGTGAAGGAAAACTCGCGGGAGGTTGCGCCGCCAAAGCGCAAACTCCCGCTGGCCACCCGGACCCTAATCCAAGCCAAAAACGCCGCTCTCCGGAGAGCGAAACTCTGCCCCACCCCCGAATACAGGGCCACCGCGAATCGCCTTCAGCGACAAGTGAAAACACAGTTAGCCGACTTGAGACACTCCCGTTGGGAGGAACTCATGGCGGACATCACCCCGTCACACCTAGCATACTACAAAATCGCGAAAGCGCTCCGTAGCGACGCCACCACACACACCCCTCCGCTCACTCGCCCCGACGGTACCGTCGCCTTCGATGACGACGAGAAAGCCGAATGCTTCGCGGATAGTATAGCCGATCAATGCACACCCAGCACACAAACGACCGACCCACACCACATCCGCAAAGTAGAAGAGGAGGTCCGCCGACGGACCGCCCTCCCACTCACCGACGTTTCTCTCGAACCCGTGTCGAACGACGAAATTAAACTAATCATTAGGAACTTTAAGCAACGCAAGGCCCCGGGCGCCGATGGCATCTCAAATAAAGCGCTAAAGCACTTTCCCACCCAAGTGCTAACCTTGCTTGCCCTCTTATTCAATGCATGCTTCGATCTGTGCTACTTCCCAGCCGCCTGGAAAGAAGCCATCGTAATAGGCATCCCTAAACCCGGCAAACCCGCGCACCTCCCGAGTAGCCACCGCCCTATTAACCTCCTCAAGGCGATGGGAAAACTATTCGAAAAAACAGTACTGACTAGACTCAGAGAGCACCTCCTGTCACCATCCAATCCTATCATCATCCACAATTAATTCGGCTTCAGAGCCAAACACTCCTGCCCACAGCAAGTCCACCGCATAGTGGAGCATGCCCTAAGCGGATTCCAATTTAATAAATATAAAACCATCGCAGTCTTCTTCGACGTCGCCAAAGCCGTCGATAAGGTTTGGCACGACGGCCTTATCTTTAAATTATACAAATTAGAGTTACCCGACCGACTAGTTAGGTTAATAGCCTCTTTCCTATCAAATCGTACCTTCCGTTATAGATACGAAGGTACTTTATCTACGCCCCGCCCACTCCGAGCCGGTGTACCGCAGGGGTCCGCCCTCTCCCCCCTCCTATACACAGCGTACACCAATGACATCCCTAAGACCAAGGGTGTCGAGCTCGCCCTCTTCGCGGACGACACGGCCCTCTACTCTAGAGGAGCCAGCACAAACGAAATCATAGCCAGGCTCCAACCGGCAGTCACTACTCTTGGGAATTGGTTCCGCGATGTGAGGATCGACGTAAACCCGGATAAAAGTTCGGCTATTTGCTTCGACCCCAAGCGCCGCTCCAAAACCATACAATACGGTGCGCGGTCGTTGCGAATGCAAGGCATCGCAATACCGTGGCACCGCACAGTCAAATATCTAGGGATAACACTAGACAAAAAACTCACCTTCCGTCCTCACGCCACCCGCGTAGTCGCGAACGCGCGTTTTACATGAGCCGCCTTCACCCAATGATCGGAAAAAACAGTAAAATGTCTCTCCGCAACAAGCGAACGCTTTACAAAGTTTGTATACGCCCGGTACTCACTTACTCATCACCGGTATTTGCACACGCAGGCGAAGCAGTATTGAACAAACTCCCAAGTTCTTCAAAACCGCTTCTGCCGCATAGCCACAGGGGCCCCGTGGTACGTCCGTAACGCGGACCTCCACGGGGACCTTCAACTTGACACAATCCAAACTCACCTCACAGAGTGCTCGGAACGGTTCTTCAAAGCCGCAGAAGAGCACTCTAACCCACTAATCAGAGAGGCGGCGGCGTACGCCCCCCCTCCCCAGTCTATTTACAGGCTCCGCAGACCACGGAACGCCCTATGCGACGCTCCCAACAAAATCACACGCGACCTCGAGGCCCTACTGTCCGCCGAGGCTCAACAGCGGCCCTCCGTGCCGGAACGCCCCGGCCGTCCCCCGGATCCCGAGCAACCAACAGAAGTCCGAACCCAAACCACGCCTTAAAACGTCACTCATCCCAATCCCAGATTCCATCCCAATCACTCCTCGCCTGGCGATGTCATTAAAATTGCCGGCTCAATTATTAATGACGCTCTCCAAGAGTGCACCCCGTTAGCCGCCGGTGGGCGGCGAACAACTCGCAACAGCGCCCAAGGACGCGTGCGAGCCACTCAACGCTGTGACGCGTGGCGGACGCAGCCACACTTAGTGCCTGCGCCCTCTACGCGGCTACGGCAACTGCGACACCGCTTTTTCAATTTAGACTTAGCATAGGCTATACTATCAATTCGCTTCTCTCACCGCCACCGTGCGGCGAGATTTCGGTGGGGCAAACGCTAACAGAGTTGAATTATCAACCACGTTGGAATTTAACCCCACCGATTAGGTTTCGCTTAGGTTGGCCTGTGAGGGTGTTGGTCTAGTGGCAAGTGAGACTCGCGCCGGTTTCGGAACCGATTCTCTGCCGGTGCGGGCCTCACGAGTCTCTAACGCGTCGATCAAACTTAGCGTTGATCGGCGCGGGCCAGCATCCACACACGCGTTAGCTCTCAAACAAATTTCCCCGTTAGTTAGCATAAACGATCACACCCCGTTAGGCCCCTTACAGCAAGGCATTGCCTGCCCTCCCTACGCACGAGCGGCCCTCTGCAGCTCTTCTGTCCGATACGGGCGTGCCTCACTAGGAGGCCGCACCGTCCTTCTCGCGCATATGCTCTAGTATCTAACTAAAGCAGCGCTGCGTCGCTCCCCCCCTGGGGGACGATCGCTTCCGATGAAGCCTTAGAGGCCTTCCCGGCCAGAGGCAGCCCCTACGGGTGTTTTTTAGTCAGTAAGAGTCTGATATAACCTTGCAGCCGGCTGTAGGGTATCCATGAGGATTTCTCACCCGCTCCCCCGCCTGGGAGGAAACAAAAAAAAAACACAATTCGCTGTAGTCACAATTGGACATCCAAACACACTGCATGTGCGCTCAATATAACAATATTGCGTAATTTCTATGTTATAAAAATAAATCAATGCCTTCGATGCTTTTATAAAGAACACAAATACACTTCTGGACACATCTATTGGCTCCCCTTGTATTTGTTTCGTTTGGTCCTAGCTAAAATTTTATATTAGGTCGAGCAAAAAGTTTTTATGCAGTTTTGAACCTGGCACATTCACAATTTCATTCAATAGTCTTTTTTTGAATTTCGAACACAGAATTTAAAGAAACAAAAGACAATTTGGAGCCTGTTTGTTGATATCAAACAATCGAATACTAAGAAAACTTGGTTTTACTGGTTTATTTGGATTTAATTCTTAAAAAAGTGATTGATATCTTTGGTTTTGCAACAAACATTACTTATTCTTAACATTAAGGTGAGGTTCTATCAATAATCTATGGATACTTCACCTGAAGTCGCCGCCCAAGCTGTGGCACTTATTCAGGCCGGACACAGCCAAAGAAACGTGAGTGCTCAACTTAATTTAAGTCGGTCTGCGGTCCGAAATGTTTATCGGAGGTACCTAGAGACTGGTGGCTTTGTTCGTCGCCAAGGAAGGCCACGATCTCGGGTCACAACTGAAAGGCAGGATCGATTCATCGTGACGACCAGCTTGAGAAATCGTCACCTTACCTCCATTGAGATACAAAAACAAATTCGCGACTTCCACGGAGTATCTGTGAGCGCTCGAACTGTTCGGAAAAGGTTAAAAGAACGCGATATGGTACCACACACGCCAGCTAATGCGCCCAAACTAACGCGAGCCCACCGAACAGCGCGCCTTCATTTCGCACGCAGTCATTTAAATTGGACACAGCAAGATTGGAGCCTTGTACTCTTTTCTGATGAGTCTAAAATTGTGTTACATGGCGACGTAAGGGAGAGCGTTTCGCACAATGCTGCTTTGAAGAGAGGGTTGCTTATGGCGGTGGCTCATGGACTGTCTAGGGTGGTATATCCGCGAGCGGCAAAACTCAACTTGAGGTTGTTACAGGACCACGGCTGCCAACATTAAATGCTGAAAGGTACATTCGTGGGTGCTTAGAACCTCACGTGATACCATACGCGGACTATGCGCTCAATATAACAATATTGCGTAATTTCTGTGTTATAAAAATAAATCAATGCCTTCGATGCTTTTATAAAGAACACAAATAGTTCAAATTCAAATAACAAATGCCTCGGCAACACTTCTCATTCGTAAAACTGTAAAATAATTATTTTCTCAAATATAATGGTATAATGGGTTCGTGAATGTTATTTACGTAATCGCCATTTTGTTATCAAGTAAAGGACAACAATACAGCTCAGCCGTTCGCACTCGGCAGCGGACTCGCCGTTTCGCTCTCTCTGCGTTGAAGCGTACAGTTCTGTCTTGCTCGCTCGATTGAATGTTATTTACAGATGTGTGCGTGTTTGAGAGTTGCTAATGTAGTCGAGTCGGATCATATTTTATTTGATGCTAGTATGAACATACTGTATCTTCCCTTTTTGTTATAATCTAAGGTTGATAATGATGTAACAATCAGAAATAAGCTAAATACCTGATAGGGGCACACGAGCGGTGCCCCCCCATCCTTTAAACAGGCATCTATGCCAGCCTCCCCACCAGCGCACATCATGGAGTCCGGAAGGTCAACATGCATCTTCAAAACAGCGTTTAGTTGCGTTTCGCAAACACTGTGTTCTACCACCGGCGGATCAACCTAAAAAAAGGAATTATAATAATAATAAATATTTCCAACACTCACACCAATTAGCGTAGATCCAAAGTAAGCACTGTAAGGCTTGTGTTATGGGATACTAGGGCAACGGATAGAATACATATACAGTACTTAAATAAGTATATTTATATAGAAATACATATTAAACATCCATGACTGGAGTACAAAATGCTCGTATTCATCACACAAACATCTGCCCCCACCGGGATTCAAACCCGGGACCTCTCGAGTCGGCGACACCATGAAACCCGGCGTACAAACCACTCGGCCACGGAGGTCGTCAAATAAATGTGCTTTATCGGGTTCAAAATGTGTCTTATTATTATTGATGTGTAACATCTTTCCTCTCGCTTCCCTGCAATTTGTGGGAGTGATTTCGTGAAACGGGACGGAATTGTATAACAGGAAGTCGCGAAAGCGCGCGCTATTTGATTTGATTTTAGAACATAATGTTCAATTGTCTTATTCCTTTTGTAGTAGGTTTTATTTCTTTTTTTTTTCTAATATAAGGTGAGGTTTTAAATTTAATGTTACACATCATACGCAACTACTGTGAGGCTCTCGCCCCTTTTTTTTTACATTTCGTATCCTTTTTAGGTTGCGTCTCGTCAAAATTATGACGAATAAATAATTAATTCAGACACGACGCAGCCTGGAAACAGGAAAGTATACGAAATGACAAAAAAGTAACGAAAAGACACATTTTGAAAGCGTGTTTCATTTATGTTAATGAGTGGTGTGCCAAAAATTAAGAAGCAAATGAATGAAAAAAGTAAAAAGGGTGACCTAAAAAGGAGAAAAAATATTCTATGTGCTAATTAATAGTTATTTGTGATGCAAAGTTTTAAAGTTGCTTTTTGGTGAGAGTACAGAATTAACAAGCTTGCGATTGCGACATTACAATTTTGTTTGCTTCTTAGTTATGGAGGCCATACACATTAGGTTTTGTATGATGGTTTTAGCCGAACATGCATAACCGACAGGCAAGCCCTTACGTGTATGTGATAAAACTGTACAGTTTTCGGTGCATGTAACTCGGTTATGCATGTCGGTTATGAATGCACGGTTTAAACCATCATGCAAAACCTAAAGTTTATGCCCTCCATTAGAGCGCTCTAAACTCGGGCACAATTGGCACATTAGTAAACGTACAAAGACAAAGCTTTATACAACCGTGCTGCGAACTTTCACTACTACAAGTAAGACGCATGTGTATTAGTGAGCACTGGCTGCCTGTCACGCACGCAGTCACACGTCAGTGCCAGTGCTCAAGTGCAGGGCTTGCAGAAAAAATAATAGAATTAAAAGATTATTTTTATGTTGGATAAACCATTTAAAGTGGAAGGCTTATAGGTTGAAAACAATAAAATGATGCTTCAACATTTTTTTTTATATAATTTTAATACATATTTTATGTGGTGTGTCATTGAGCATTCCCTATTCTATCATCCATAGGGAAGACCTGTAGCCCAGCAGTAGGATATTAATAGGCTGATGACATTGACGTATAAAAACAAGAAAACACCATGTAGGAAGGCCAATCTGGGTGGTGTTAGCTTGGGGGCTGCGGCCCGACTGACTATGGTTTATGATATGAAGAATTAGCCTCTAAATTTCTATTGCGCGATCTAGGCTTCCATACTTTTAGAGTGTAGCGCTGGTAGTGCCATCTGTTGTTAAGGAGCGTCAAGTGCAGCTTCGTTATTTATAATGTGGTAGTAGTGCATAGATGTCGCCGCCATACACCCAATCAGGTTTACATAACATTTGCTTAGCGATTGGGAGTCTATTTGTTTTTATACGTCAATGGCTGATGCTGATATTTACCATCTTTAGAATGTTCCGTATCGAACCATTGTAGTAAGTCTCTTGCCCCCAACCGGCGACGATGCAGCGGACGCCGGCGGGGGTGGATGACGCGGGAGGGGGCAGACACGCGAACGCCACGTTGGGCGCCAAGTTAATAGATGTTGACAAAACCAGTAGAGCTGCGTCATATGCATTTGTAGCTGGAAAGAAATTATTTTTGTTGCGTATCTCTATGGATATCGGATATACACGTTAAAAATTATAACCTCATACTCAACTTACTTTTTACCTTTACCCTAACCCTTCTCATGTCAAATGAGCGCTGGCCGAGTCTCCCGCCACGCTTACATCAATGACGTAATCCGCAGAGCTCGACAAGGGCTCTGCTGTCAACATGCCTTGAGCGGTCCTTGAGCCTAGCGGTATCTTTCGTGACGATGGCAAGAGACCGGAGGGGATGTCGCTCATTCCTTGGAAGCAGGATCGTCTTGTTTGGTACGCATCTTTCGCGAATACGCTTGTTCCGTACACATACGCTAAGGCCCGTATTATAGAAAGACAACTAAGGGTTGATCTTTACTTAAGTACAGTTACAAAGGGATGTCGCTATGTGCTATATATAGCGACATCCCTTTCTAACTATGCTCTAGACTAGATCAATCACTGAGAATCTTTCTATAATACGGGCCTTAGTGCTCCAAGCGGCGCAAATATTCAGCTCTCAATGAGAATTATATATTTGTGCGGTTTGGTGCTGACAATATAGGTTCATGGGGTCCAAGCGCTCGTTGCTTATTTAAGGAATAATCAAAGAGACTCACCGAAGTGATTGGTGACCAAAAGGCTGGCAGCTACTTTGGTCAACGGATCAGCCTTGCCATTCAACGTGGCAATGCTGCCAGCCTATTGGGCACCATTCCTGACGGCGGCGCTGGGGGTCATATATTTTTCATTTCGTAAATTAGCTATTATTCGTAAGTAGGTTAAGGTAATTTATATATGTTATTAAATGTATTTTTGAATTAGAATACATAGATTTCATGTAAAGTTGTATGTACAGATGTGACTATTTATTCCAAGCCAAATTACACCCCACTCTACAGACTCTGTATAACTTTTCGTACTCACGGTTGTCTGGAAGAAATCGCTCTTAGCGATAACACCGCCTATTTTAACGCTTTTGTTAAGTTTATTGTTTGTTAATGTTATGTAATTATGTATTTGATGTTATAATAGAGTGTTAATCTATCTAGCCATCTAAATACTTACTTGGGTTGTATTTGGGGTGTCCCATGATGGATTTAACATCGCTGCTCTGGTGGTAATGTATCTCGTAGTTGGTGCTGGAGATGTCCCAGTCTCCGGCGTGGATCCTGATGCGGGCTGGGGTCCTGAAGTAATGCTTGACGGTGAGAACTACTCTGTGGTGGATCAGGGAGCCGACGCAGCAGTAGTCGTAGGTGCCATTCTCAGCTGAATATCTGTCAAAGGATGTATATTAAAATCATCATTATTATTGTTACAGATCGCGATGCAATTCTATACTCTATTCTACTTCCTCTAAGACAAAAGGTTAACAAACAATAACAAGGTTTTTCAATAGGCCGAATGATATACGCATATTAAATCATAAATAAAAAAGGTGACATTAAAAAGATCTAAAAGTGTTGCTATTCTCAAACTTTGAACGCGTTTTTATCGTCATCATATCAGCTGTACGGGTGGCGGTGAGCTTAGCACCAGTAAAGTTTCCTTTAAGCAGGGTTGGTCTAAGAGTGCCCCGTTTTCTCACACCTGTCCGATGTGTGATTAGGTATATGGCTTTAGGAGAGAGCGCAGTCGTGAAGATCCCTAAGGCAAGCCAGGTATGTCCTCCTTCCCGCGGTTGCCACCTGTTATGCATTGTTCATCCTTTTGATGAAGAGTGCAACCGAAACTACCTGATGCATTTCCCCATAGAATTCCTAACCTATCCCATTTCCAATCTTCCCTGTCGTAATCCGCCATAATCGACGACGTGGTCACGCCGACATGGGCCAGTCATCCAAAAAACCAGGATGGCAGGTTGAAATGACCGGAGGGATGAAGGGATCCTGGAGGTTGAGCTGTTGGTAACCGCCACAGCAACACGCCTCTTTGGCCCTGATTTCAGCCTAAACGGGAGGCCTCAGAGTAGCCAACTGGGGTCAATCGGCTCGGTCAGTCTTCGGATGCGCCGAACACTAACACCGTCACGGCGCGGAAGGTCATGGACTTGTTTGCTATCGGTGCCGCAATCCCGGATGTCACCCCGAAAGGGACTGCGTCTTGGAGCGTGGAAGTCCGGAGCAGGAAGGTCACTGACAAACCGGCCGTGAAGCACACTGACAAACCGTTGCCACCGCCGAAGAAGTCATTGGCTGGCGCAACGCCGGCTAATGTACTCCGCAATATACGCCGCGCGAAAGCGCGCTTTATTGCGAGGCAGAAGCACGCGCAGGAGACTGGAGGGAGTAAGCAGCCAGAGGCTGCTGAAGAGTTCACTACGGCTCACGCTGCCCGTGTAGGCGAGGAGACCGTCGGTGCGGCTGACATAAGCCGGCCAACTGACGAAAAAACCCGCTGATAAGGCACCCCAGAATCCGGACGAGCAAGATCGCAGCGATTTGTTGCAACCACGCGGAAAACGGTCAGGTCAAGCCAGGAACAACCGGCCCAAAAAGTCCCAATCGATACCGTCGAAGAGAGGACGTCCTGACGACACCATATCGCCTAGAGGGGACACCAAGAGGCCTCGGACTGGTCCGAAGAGTTCAGCAGTAAATTACGCAGACGCATTGAAGGTCAATGACCTCTGCGTCGCGGTAATGGCGGAACCCTTTCAGGACCTAACCGAAGCACAGGCCTCTAAAATCGAGGAGGACATCGGGGGTGCTCTGGATGAGCAAATTTACAAACCGTCCACGATGTCATCTCGTTCACCGGCATTCCGCGGCAAAGCTTTCTGGTCGGAGGGCGTCCTCAAACTCTGGTGCGAGGACGACTGTTCGCTAGAATGGCTGCGCCAAACCATCAAGACCATCAGGTCTCCCATCTCGGGAACCGTTTTGACAGTTAAACGTCAAGCCGAGATTCCGAAGAGGGTGAAGGCCTCTATCATTGTGCCACGGTACAAGGGCGAAAACCTCGACCAACTGAGGATGAGGCTGGCCGCCCAGAATCCGTGGTACAATATCAACCAATGGACCCTGTACCACGCAGTGAAGACGGAAGAGAAGGAAGAGCTATTCATCCTGGTGGGTATCCCCCAGGATGATGTGCCCAAACTTCTCGCGAGGGATCGACGCGTAGCTTACAAGCTCGGGTCGATATGTCCGCTCCTCGTCGGGGGCAGTCGATCGACCATCAGATCGACCTTCCACGGCAAAACTACCACTGGCCACCACACCTTACCCACCGAGGGAGACCGACGTAGGACTGAGCGTGGGTATGGCCAATAAACCACCGGCTTCGGCAACAACAACATCGGCCTACAACTCGTCACCGGCCCGACAATCCAGCATAGAAGAGGAGGTTGCTGACCGTATGGACTGGTGGCTGGAGGGTGAAAAGGCGAATGAAGAGGAAGCGAGAGCGGGCAGCTTGGTCAGTCAAAATGACGATCAAAAACCCAGCCCCTCTCTTTAACATCCTACAATCTAATCTCCAACACAGCCAGACAGCCACGGCAAACCTTTGGCGTGTGTTGGAGACAAATACCAAGACCATAGCCCTCATCCAGGAGCCGTGGATCAGGGGTGAGAGGATCTGTGGTCTATCCAACATTGGAGGCAAATTACTCCTTGATACTACCGTAAGTAAACCACGAACATGCATCTTTGCTCCCAAGCATGTGAAAACCGTTCTAATCACCGAGTTCTGTTCCAGGTACCTGACTGCAATCAGGCTCCTCAGTGATACACCTAGCCTACCCGAGGTGATTTTTGCGTCTGCCTACTGTCCGGGCGACGCTGAAATACCCTTGCCGGAGTTCGAAAGGCTGGTGACACACTGCGAGCAAGAGGGACTGGAGCTGATCATCGCCGCTGACTCCAACGCACACCACTCACTTTGGGGCAGCCACGACACCAATACCAGAAGTGAGGAGTTTTCTAGCTACCTTTTCTCAACAAACTTAAAAATCATCAATAGAGGCTCTGAACCTACCATTGTTACATCAAGAGCCCAGACAATAATCGACCTTACCCTGACCAGTGAGAGGATTGCTGAATTCATCACTGACTGGCACGTATCCGACGAAACATCTTGCTCGGATCACAAATAGATTAGGTTTTATCTTCATATAAACAATAAATCACCAGAGCCACGACGCATTCCACGTAAGACTGACCGCAAAAAATTCTTTTCACTAACCACGGCCAGTCTGAAGTGTCTCCACTTGCCAGCGGATTATAAAAATCCAATGGAAATAGACACACATGTGAATAACCTAACATCAACTTTAACCGTCTGTTACGAACAATCATGCCCACTAGTACAGCAACGCACAACAGCCAAAGGCACTTATTTAACAACTTATTTATATATAAGAATCATAACTCCTGAATAATAGGAATCATAACTCCTGAATAATTCAGTGATTATTTTATATGTCACTAACGGCCGCACTCAAAGAAGTCAATTAAAGGTAATGCTTCATTAAGCCGCGTGTTTTCTTATTTTGTTTTACCAAGAAATTTTGTTTCTACAAAGAAAGTGACAGCATCAACTTTAATTTAAATTAAAAGTTTAAATATGAAGGTGAAATTTTACACGAAAGTAGGTAATTATTAGGAGTCGTTGCCTAAAAAGGATTTTAGGAAACTTCCTTAAAATGGGGATAAATTAAAATTAAAAATTTTAAAGTTGTTAATATCGGAGTTAGTAATTAATCAGGCTTCTAATTACCTGGAAAAATGGAACATGGTAGTATTTTCTAATTTATACTCTGAGGGGTTACAATGTATGATCAAAGTTTTGTTCTGCGCGTGCGAAGCCGCTGACGGAAAGCTATAGTTCATTCGCGTTAAGAAAATAGTGACTCATCACCGACTGCCGGCCAAGCCACGCCCCCTAGCCAATTAAAACGCTAGAAATTAGTAAGGCGAGTTCACAGTGCTCAGTTGAAGTCAGACCTTCGAACTGATCGGTTGTGTATTTTGCGTACTACTTGTTTAAAATTAAATTTGGAAAATGGATATCTCACCTATTAAAAAAAATAAAAGTGGATCAATTATACATAGCGGAGAGAGACGCGTAATTTACAATGTTTATAAATATTTCAAACAGATTGATTTAAATGAGACTGTGGAGAGCATAGTAATTAAAACTGCAAGTGCATGCGGTGTGTCCGAAAACACTGTTTATAAAATTATAAAAGAACAAAAAGAAACGAATACATTGAAATCACCTGTGAAAAAAAGAGCTCGACTATCCACGGTCGATAAATTAGATGAACTAGACAAATGTGCAATAAGGAGAAAAGTACACTCTATATATTTAAATAACATTGGACAAAATAATAACACTTTGCGAAGCTGATGAAGATATTCCTGTTTTCAAACGTACAACACTTCACAAAATACTGCACGAGCTTGGTTTTGACTTCAATAAACAAGATAGTAGAAAATTGTTAGTGGAAAGAGAAGATATTGTTTTATGGAGGCGAAAATATTTAAGACAAATAAAAGAATATAGAAACGCTAATAAAACCATTTACTATCTCGACGAAACGTGGGTAAACGCCGGACACGTAAAAACAAAAGTGTGGTTGGATACAACAATCAAGAATAAAAGACAAGCTTTCCAAGATGGCTTATCAACCGGCCCAAAAGCTCCGACAGGGAAAGGGAAAAGGTTAATTATATTGCACATTGGCAGCGAAAAAGGATTCCTGGAAGATGGTTTACTAGTCTTTGAATCTAAATCTACAAAAGATTATCATGAAGAAATGGATGGTGAAAGATTCCTTAATTGGTTCAATGGTATAATACCGAAGCTTGAACCAGGAAGTGTGGTTGTCATGGATAACGCTCCCTACCATTCGGTAAAAGTTGAAAAAATACCCACGGCCAGTTGGAATAAGCAGCAAATACTAGAGTGGTTGCAAAACAAAGACATATCTATGGATATGAGTTATTTGAAAAAAGAATTATTATTGAAAGTCGCCGAAATCGCCCCACAATATAATAAATATTTAGTAGATGAGACTGCTAAAAACAATGGCATTACAATTCTTCGTCTGCCGCCTTACCATTGTAAATTAAATCCGATTGAAATGGTGTGGGCCCAAATAAAAAATTATATTGCTGCGAATAATACTACATTCAAAATGAGTGACGTAAAAAAAAAATTTTATGACGCAATCGCGTTAGTAGACGCCAATCGGTGGAAGAAATGCTGCGACCACGTGATACGCGAAGAAAATACCATGTGGGGTTTGGATGACGTCATGGAACATGCA